ATATATTTATGGATCATGGAAGAATTGGATAATGGATGGATGTCGGATGGGAATGGATTGATGGATGGATGGATGGATGGATGGATGGATGGATTAATGGGTACGTGTGGATGGATATTTGAATTATATCAATTGTGTATTAGATAGCAGAATAAGTCTGACTGGATAAGCTTATTGACGTATTTTTATTGAATGTCTATCTTGAAACGGTTCTTGAGTCTTGACACAATACTTAGGGCCAGTATATTCGGTTTTTATCCGGAGAACTCGAGGGTATGTTTTGTCATCCATCCGGTTATTCAAAGGTGATGAGTTCTTGTTAGGTGCTATAAAATGGCTACTTGGTTCACTTCACTCACTTCAAGCTTTTTAGGTTCTGATCCTTAAGATAATTTTGTGTGTGGGTGGGTTGCCTGTGTAGTGTGCATGTCTSATGGGCTCTCTGTGGTTGTAAACTGTCAAAAAAAAGATTTGACTGCTTTAGCAATAGTAGTAAAACTGAAAACCAATCAAAAATAAATATGGATTAAATTATACATCCCTGTATTAACTAATATCAATTTAAAAACCTCCGTCTTGTTATTTCGTATAAAGGAAACACAAACAACAACAAAAATCTCAAAAYATTCTCAAAATATTCAACATTTTAAGATTACTGAATTGTTCAATAGTAACGTGAAGCTTAAGCATATATTTTAGTTTCATGTTTGTCTATATTTACCATTGCCATTTATCTCAGCACACGAGTTGCAGCGTTCAGTCGAAACGGGTACCAGAAGACCACGAACAAAGCCTATCACAGCAGAACAACATAGATGAAAACAGAGATATGGTCAAACTAATGTACAATAATTGATAGGCAATTTAAACTCAAAAAGACTTAGAAAAATTGTGAATTTAGCTTGCGATACACGGCCTTCTGTTTCTGACTTCTTCTCGCAACRTTTCAGAGTCGTAAAAGTAATCTCTCTGCTCGTGAAGACGACTAAATAATATTCTCTGCTCGTGAAGACGACTAAATAATATGCAAGAATTCTCTGACATGAATCAAGAGTATGACTATCTTTTCAAGTTGCTTCTCATTGGCGATTCAGGCGTAGGAAAATCAAGTATATTGCTTCGTTTCGCCGATGATGCCTTCAGTGAATGCTACATTAGTACAATTGGAGTGGACTTCAAAATACGAACAGTCAAAGTTGGTGATAAAACAGTCAAGCTTCAAATCTGGGATACTGCAGGACAGGAACGGTTTAGAACCCTAACAACGGCTTATTATCGCAGTGCACATGGAGTTATCCTAGTMTATGATGTCAACGATAAGAATACTTTTGTTCATTTAGAAGAATGGATGAAGGAAATTCGAAAAAACGCACGAGAGACGATTAACCTTCTTCTAGTGGGTAACAAATGTGATCTCATCGGTCACAGAGAGGTTGATTATGAGGCAGCCAAAACGTTTGCCGAGGATCTAAAAGTATCTTTTATTGAGACTAGTGCTAAGGACTGTACCAACGTACACAAGGTATTTCATACAATGGCTGAGGAACTTAGAATCAAGCTTGGTTCTCCTATTTGTTCTCCTGGGGAGAACGACGAAACTGACAGCCATCTTTGGCTGCCGCAAGGATCGAGTAAAGCAATCAAGAATAAGAGAAAATGTTGTTGAAATGGGTCAATGCGGTATGCAAATCAAGAGCTGTTACGTCTTATTTCTAGCTTATTAGCATTTTTTGTCTKTAGGTACGATGAATGTACATTGTTCTCGTGTCTATATTGGTCTATTGTGAGGCTGATATTAACGGATGGACTAGTGTCTACCAGACTTTTCCAGAAAATTTATAAAATGATGTTTCTGTTAGTTTTGAGTGTAACAAAATCGATTTTGTAGGCTGGAAATAATTGACAAATTAATTGCAATATTGTTCACGATCACTTTTCAGCGGCCAGAATTTTTCCCTTTTTATCTCGACTAAAGCATCATTTGCTTGTTCCTCAGAAATCTTCTTGTGAATAAAGGCTTATAATAAAAGGCAGGGTAAATCCGTCGATTCCAAGCCGAAATGAAATGAAACAGGTACAATACCTACCCACACTGAAGTCGATTTTTGACTTTTGACCGATTTTTGTGCGTTCTCACTCGTCACGAAGTAAATCCCAGTCCCCTGTGTGCTCTCACTGGCAACGGAAACACCAGACTCGAACCAGACATGTTTTGCTTGCGCTCCTCGCAGCTATCTAAGCGTTTGCTTGGACGTCAAGATGCAATTAAAAACTGCCAAAATCTACGAGCGGTATTAGGAAGTACTAGATACCGTTTAAAGTCTACAAATGGTATCTCCTTGACGGAGGAGCAGAAAAAACAGGTACAGCAAGTGAATGGAGCGAAGCCCAGCAAGTAATTAAATCCTTGGTCTGAAGTATGTTTCCTATGTCGAAATCTAGCATGATTCATGGTAAAGCGATCGACTCCCTGAAAGCCGTGAAAAAAAGAAGATTGCTTTTATAGCTAGCCCTACTACCGTGGTATTACCACCCCACAGTTTGTGACGAACAATTATCATAATATCATACAACGTGACGCTAGTGGTTCTGTCATTATTCAAAATTCAGTTACATCAAGCAGAACTAATAAATGTTCTCAATTAACCTCCATTTTTAGTATGAGACAGAGGGATACTTGATCATTGAAAACGTTTTCGACAAAGAACACATCCAAAAGATGAAAGATGCGCTTGACGAGTGCGAGGAAAGGTTTGTAATTCACATGCACAGGCTCTTTCTTAACGTCTTAATTACCTTTCATGAAAAGGGGAAGAGAGCCCGTGGTCTTAGGGTAGAGCATAACCTGGCCGGATTCTTCTCGAAATTTTCCCTTAAAAATGCTGCTGTTGTATAAAAGCTGCACTCGTCTGTCACGGAGGGCATTATCAGGTCTTGCGTAACCACAGTGAACTGTAACGTCACGCAAGACTAGAAAATGTGGAGGAATGTGACCGATAGAAGGTTAACGTTGGATTCTTTGTAATTATAGAGCAAAAACAATGACAAAGTCATCGAAGCACTACAGTCTTGATCCTCAACATACAATTGATAATCCAATGCTTCAACGTGTTCATATGCCATCTTTACTCTTTCCAATTTACGAACAAACAATTGGAAATGAAAAGCTGTTAGATATCGTGGAGGATCTGGTAATTTCTTGTCTTGAAACACTTTTGTTATGTCTTCTTTTGAATTGTCTTTGTTGTGATAATCGTATCAACTCTGATGAAGACTGAGTAAAGAGAATTGCTCCTGCTTCTGCTCCTGCTCCTGGTTTTTTTGTGCTAATATATCCATATGATCATACAGATTGGCCCTAATATCCGCTATATAAGACAAGATAAAGTGAACCTTAAGCTTCCTAAAGGGACAGGATTCCCCATAAAATGGCACCAAGACTGGGCCTTCAACCCACATACGAATCAGAAAATACTAATGGCATGCGTCTCTATAGATGATACAACAAGAGAAAACGGTAAGTACAGTACGATGGGCATCAGAAATCAGAAACWATTTGTCATTCCCTTTCCCTACTCAACATCCCTTGTGGCAACATTTTGGTTGGTTAAACAAGACTGCAAGTTTGCCAAAATGTTCCCCTGGCGCTGACTTTTTTCGGATTATTTTGAAACTCAGTTCCTAAAAGAGTTACGCACGTTAATTGTAAGTTTTTTCTCGTGGTTAGYGTAACTCAATTGCAAGTCGTCACGTTGTCATTCAAATAGTCCGCGTTGTTTAGACAAAACAGCAAGCCCTGCCAGCAGGTCAGTCTCATTTGATCAATTCTTCATTCATTCAAACGTTTCAGGATGTCTCCAAGTCGTCCCGAAGTCACACAARGGTCCTCTTTTCTCTCACTTCAAAAACGGAGAATTTGTATCTGCTATCAATGACGAACGGTTTGATCCAAGCTCTGCAGTCCATGTTGAGGTTCCATCTGGAGGGGTTAGCCTCCATCACGTCCAAACCATCCATGGGTCAGCTGCTAACACCTCTGGCGTTAAACGAAGATTGTTTGTTTATCAGTACTGCAGTACAGACGCATGGCCATTGCTTGGGATTAGTTCACTGGAAGAAGGCAACACTGGTCCMCTGGATTGGGAWAGGTTTAAGGCGACATTACTTCGTGGTGACGTTACCATGTTTCCTAAAATGGAAGCTATTCCCTTTTCCCTTCCTGTTCCATTTGATAAAGGTTATGTGTTTGAGCATCCAGACAGCATTCAATCTTCACACGATAATCCTCAATAGTTCAACAATTAAATGATTACATTTCTAAAAAAATATAGCTCATCAGGCCAAGCCAGAATAACAGTAWTTCGGTCGATTAAAAAATTGATATGTCTTTCTACAAAATAATATATCACCAATTCGTATGTAATGAAGTAAGCTTATATATTGTACCAATACGTTTTTGTAATAAAATAATATTGCGTAAAAGCCACGTAGACTTTTTTTCATCTTTCTACAAATGCGCTTTGAATGCGCCCGTGAGTTATCGTCAGCGGGTAACCACAAGAGCACTTACACGTTTTGAACATGGCGGAGTTTGTATTACTCGAAACTTTAGAGGGCGACTCGGCAAAAGTACACCTACATGGTAAGAGATTCACCTAATYATAGATAATTTAGATGTCGATCTTAATTGTGGGTCTGAATTACTATGAGAATCTCTGTTAATTTTTAACTTTTCAGAGAAAATGACACAGTCACGTAAGCTTAATGTTGTTATTTTTTCCCGCTACTATTCCAGGAGCCACAGTTACTTCATGGAAGTGTAAAAATACTGAAATGTTATTTGTAAGGTATTGAAACACTTTGAAAATTACAATAATTTGCTGATTATTTGATTCTAATCATTATTTTTTGATTTTGGTACTAATTAGCAGAAATAACACAGGTAGCCCAAGCACTCATAATATGTAAAGTAGAACATTTTTCTGTAGCGAGCTAAAAATGTTCAGGGGTATTGACAAGAATGAGGAGAATGCAATGTTCAAGTTTAAAATAATTTTATTCAGATTTGCCACTTTAATTGAGCTTAACTCCAGTGCAGATAGGTGCTGTGAAACATTTAATTTGATTAAAAGAATGTTGTTTATTTTAGCAAAAATGCTGTATTTGATAATAAAAAGGCAATTAGAGGAGGTATTCCAATTGTATTCCGTAAGTATGCACCGTATAATTATGTACATGTTGTGATTTGAATTAAAATGCATTATCATAAATTATGAGTGTTCAAAATAATGCACAAAATGATTTTAATAGAAAATGTAGCTAAAACACCTCATAAAACAGATACTCAMTGCTCACTGTTGATGTTGCTATATAGCATTGACAATTGCCAAAACCAAGATATTTGGATCTGAGGTTAATTTCAATGGTTATTTCTACAGCAAACTTTGGACCTTGGGAGTCTGGTCCCCAGCATGGCTTTGCAAGAATAAGTAGATGGAGTGTTTGTGGTGAGCCTMAGGTACAGTAAGTCCCAGTATGACCACACTTCACAACTATGAATACCCTTGTTAAAACCCTAAGAGCATGACATTGTTATCGCTTCTGTGATAACAGCTGTGATCATAAACTGCATGGTATGTGATCATAAATCCCTGTCCCCAAAAAAGAAGTGTTATTCATCTTATATATTAGTATTTGATTTATCATTAAGAAGTTATTTTGTAGGTTGGTAAGGAATGTTCTTCTGCCTCTTTTGTCCTTGAAGACTCTGAAACTACTAGAAAAATGTGGGATTATAGGTAAGTAACAAATATGCCATTTTCTAGCTCAGCTGAAATAAAGCACAAAATCATTGTCATTAGAATAGCCTTAAGAATTTTCAAGGATTGAACAGCATTGTTTTTATTTTTATATTAATTTTTTATTATAACATTAGCATTTACTCATGCTTTTCTTGTTTATAATGTAGCATCTTTGCACACAAAAACTGTTGTTTTTAAAAGTTAAGTGGTTATCATTCTGAATCAAAAAGGCATTTAATACTAAAGAATTCATGTATCAATTATATTTATGTAATATCAGTTCTGTTCTGTTGACTTTTGATTGCTGATTTTCAGATTTAAGCTGACATATACAGTAACTTTGGGAAAAAATAAACTTACAACAAGTCTTGTAGTTGAAAATAAAGGTATGGTATAGATTACTTTACATCTTACATGTTTTTTTTTATTTTATCATGTTAACTGTTTTGTTTCTCTTTCAGACGAAAAGCCTTTTGACTTCACAACTCTCTTCCATACATATTTCCAAGTTCCTGATGTTACCAAGGCAACAGTGACAGGTTTCAAAGGACTCAAATATAAAGACAAGGTTTATTTAGAATTAATGTCCATGGCTTGTATGTCATCTAAGAGATCACATGATTTGCGATTTTTGTATTTTTAATAACCAAACTTTCCTCCTACGTAGACAAAAAATGATTAATGTTAACTTCATGCATTCACTGTCTATAGGTGAAGAAGGGGGAAATGTTCACAGAAAATAATGAGGCAGTGACAATTAATAGTTGTGAAACAGACAGGTACAAATATCCTACAAATTCTATGTCTTTTGWCCTACTTTCACAATTTCTTCCCATTTTCCTCCCATTTATTAATTCATTCTCATTTGGTAATATGTTATTTCTGTTTTCTTGCTTAGAGTGTAYGCTGATACACCTAATAATCACACCATTACGGGTGTAGCAGGAGGATACACTTTAGTCTTGACAAAAGTCAACTTTCCTGACACAGGTATAACATTAATACTCTGATAATCTAAAAAATACATCATTTATCATCAGCATTGAGAAGAAATCAAAAAGGAAATAGTTAAAGCAACAATTATTTGCATGTTCTCTTTGATGTTTTCAAATAAATGAATAAAAATACATGACATTGAAGGGTGTATTGTCTTATATTTCTTCTATTCATTTCATTATGTTAATATTTTTTTTCTTTTTCTTCTAAGTTTTATGGAATCCATGGATACARAAAGCTAAAGCTATGTCAGACTTTGGTGATGACGAGGTACAGTTCATTGTGTTTTAATGATATATGCCTTTTTTGACGTTTGTTCCTGTATTAAACCCTGTTATCATGACTGCATAAAAACCATTTTAACATGGTTTTCATAGTGTTATTGACCACTCAACATTAAGACATCCTTTAGAGAAATATTCAGAATGATACTTACAACATTTCACCGCCTACAAATCACCAAAATATCATCAGTTTTGAGTCTGATAACAACATGAAGTTTTAGTCAAGAATAATCAACTTTAGATATTTTGGTTCGATGACTATGTACAAAATAATACACAAGAGCCTCCGGGAAAACAATAGATAATCTTGATTTATTCTTTTATTTCCCCGGAGCCTYGTCTGCAATTCATTTGTGCATGGTCACTGAACCAAAATATCTAAAGTTAGCTATTGCATATAATACTTGATATGAAATGGCAGCTTGTACAAGTAACTATTTATGTTGTTTTCTTGCAGTATCCATTCATGCTGTGTGTRGAGGCAGGATATGTTAATAAGCCTTATACATTACAGCCTGGAAGTGTGTTTGAATGCACATGCTCATGTGACTGCATGTAGATTAGCAATCAATAAKAATTTGTAAAATTAGTTTGCCCATCATCGAGAAGCCCGAGTAAGAAACTTTGGATCCCCAACATCATGAAACATTGTATTGGACCAGGTGGTCACTTCATCTGGTTGTTTTTTGTTTTTTCTTGTTTGTTTGTTTTTTCTTTTCTTTTTCTTTTTTTCTTTTCTTTTTTTTTAGTTTGTTTTATGCATTCTTTTTAGGCATTAGTGAGAAATAGAGCAATGCATAGTGTCTAATATTATAATAGAGGTAGGCGCAATGTATTTTATAATTAAATTTTGATAGGAGAACAATAAAAACAAAAACCATGTATACATATAAGTCATAATGGTCATAATAAAGTGTTGAAATGGTTTGGATAGGTATAAAACAGTAGTTTTGATAGTATGCTTGCTGGAATCCATACTAGAATGCGATCAGCGTCCGTAATATAAGAGTGTTCGTGACATAAGGTGTCCGTGCAACGTTTCTTGAAATTGCTGTCTAAACRTTTTTACGTACTCTTACATAAATCCTTACGTACATTTAGTACGTCCTTACGTACTCCTACGTACCTCCTTACGTACTCTTACATGCGTTCTTACGTATGTTCTCTTCAACACTTACGTACGTCCTCACGTAATCTTACGTACATTCTCTCGTACACTTGCGTACGTTCTTATGTATTGTCTGGATTGCTATTTGTGAAATACGTCACGTGGGTTGTTGAAGATCACAGAAAAAAGATAACTTTRATGACTTTTTTCGGGCCATTCTTTGCTCTTTCATTATTAAACCGTAAGAATGTCCCATTATAGTTTTATTATCGGCTTAAAAGTCAAGTCTTTAGCTTTATCCCAGCTGTTTTCTTCAATTAGTTCGTTYGCGAACACTCCTTGATCATTTATCTGACTTTGTCTTTGTCTATGAGCTTGCATGTTTTCTTTGTGAAATTCTAATTCACTCTTGACAAGATTAGTACAAAAGTCTTTTTTGTCGTGTGGGATGTCTTTCTTCAAACCATGTCCTTGGACAAATTTTCCACGRTATATTTCAGTGATAATTGGTTTTGAACCTACACACATCTCGAACACTTCTTGGTTCCGCCTACGGAGGCTGCTAAGATCCTTGTAGAAGTCTGGACCYTCTGCTTCGATTTTTTTCCAAAATGTTTTGTTAAAGTGATTATAAAGAATGAAGTCTGCTTGGTTCCAGCGYTTAATATTTGCATGAAGCAATGGCGAGAGTCTTTTCTTATCTTTTTTCTGACGTTCATTGTGTTTGATGAAGACAATGTCATCAATATCCCAACACATCATTCTCTTCAGAAGAACGACAGATTCGTCAAAATATTCCATCATCATGACAAGTTCAAACTCTCTTTCCAGAAATTTAATGTACTTTCTTACGGCCGTTTCGTCTTGGTAAAAGCGGAAATCCAAACCCAAATCATACAACATTGGATTCCTTAGTAAGCGAGATCTATCTTTGAGGTGAAGTTTAGCATCTTTAACATTCTTAAAATTCATTTGCARGTATTTTTCCATAATTTCTATACTGTTTTTACCCTTAATGCCAAGCCCTTTCCACAGTTCAAAGTAGTTAAATACAGATTCGTAGTGACTAAAAGGTTCACGTAGAATAGTAATGTAGATACTTTCGTCTTTTGGAAAGAGATGGCGAAGAATACGTTTATTGTATCTGGCATGATTACATAAAATGTGTGGATTTGCCCAWGTCACGGCCATTTGATCAGTTTTCAAACGTCTTGGCCAGTCAAAAGTTATTTCTTGTTTTGGCAAAGCAAATATCAACTTATTCTTGYTTCCATATCTGTTAAGTATGTTGGTAACAGTGCTGCCTCCTGTTTTATGCGTCTTCAGAAACATGACTCTGCTTTTAA